AGTACTAAGTACATCCTTAAGACAATATTTTATTATAAAGATGTTCAGATTTCATTTATGTTATCTCAATTGTTCCCTTTCAATAATTCGAAATGAAAAAAATTGATAAATGAGCTTGAGAAAAAGGAAAAATAAAATCAATCTTACTAGCACACCAACATCGTAAGTAAGGTACCTGAAAACAAAATCTTGGAAACTTAGGGGCTTTTCTCTTCGTATTTCAGCTTTGTGTTTTTTTTTTGTCATTTTGAAAAATTATTTTCAAAAATAAAAAAATGAAAAACCCGTTTACTTTCCTCTCTCTCTCTCTCTCTCTCTCTCTCGATGGTGGTTGGTGGTGATTGAAAATCTCAAAAATCCATTTTGAAAATTTTGACTTGATTATAACTGAATACACATAAAACGATAAATTTGCCATTTTGAGTTTTCTTTGTAAATTTTTAAATTGTTTTCAAAAACGCGTTTTCGAAAATAGGAAAGAGAATGCATTTTCACTATTTTGGAAAATCGAAAACAGAAAACGGCTTGAAAACGGTAAAGAGAATAAACTCTTAAATGTTAAAAAAGTTGATTCCCATAAAATGTACAAAAGGTGGAAAAGTTTGAAATCATTAGTTTAGAGCCAGTTTGACTAGGGGTGTCCAAAAGTCTCGAACCGGACCGAACCGAACCCGAACTGAACCGAACCAAAATTAAATATCCGAACAGGTACCCGAATCGAAAACCGACGGGTTTGGGTCGGGTCTCGGGTCTAGACCAAGAACCGAAGAACCGAAACTAAATAANAACCCATCAGCCCATTTTAATTTGAAACAAATGAATATACTTTATGTAGTGTTGCATTAATATTAATATCTACTTTTTGATATTTGTATGCATTGAATTAATCTCATTGGACGGCTAGTTATTTATATGTTTTTGAATTGGGCTACGTTAATTTGTAAAAGTTACGAGTGAAGTATCATTAGTTGTATTTATGTAGTGTTGTTGTAAATATTAAAAAATTTAATTATGGTACGGAACCGAACCGAACCGAACGGAACCGAACCCGACGGGTCCATATATTAAATACCCGAAAGTTTTGGGTCGGTTCGGGTCTCTTCAGAACCGAACCGAACCGACCCACGGACAGCCCTAAGTTTGACAACCATTAATTTATTTTTATGATTTGCTACGGAAACATTTTTAATTATATATTCACACAATAAAATATTCAACATGTATACCAAAAACGTTTTCCTATTTTTTAACCACACATTCTCCTAAAAATTACTATTCAAAACTTTTTTTTTCTATAATGGTCGTCAAAGAGGCTCTTAATCTTTTGATTTTTATAAAGGCTCGTAATTCAAATGTATGATAGAATTTGCAATTTTAGTTATCAATTTTGCTCTTGTTTGGCACCTGTTTATAATCAATAATTCATCGTTTATTCATATATTTTGTTATATCTACAGGTACAATCCAATTATCCACTACTAATTTCTATCTATTTATAGTTATAGATTCGTTTATTAAAGGTTGCTAGCTAAATTACACGAGAAACCTTAGCTCCTGTTTGGCCCCCATTTTTTGGGATTGAAAATTTTTAGAATAGTGACTGATGGAAAAATATGTGGTGGAAAAGTTTTAGATTTGTGTATAATATTATTTTATTTGAGAATGTGTGATTGAGATGAAGAGAAAAAAAAATTTAATGTAATTGAATGAGAAAAAATGGGGCTCAAACGGGGGCTTAATTTACTATTTCTATGTGCATATTTGATGCGTAATATTTTATTTTTATTTAATGATGCCTTGTACTTAGTAATTTATTATACAAAGCAGGTCATTTATAATTCGATAATTAAATTCACCTAAAAGAATTATGGATTTCGTTATTAATTTTATTAAGAGTGTGTTTGATGCACATTAAAATGGAAATAATTTTTTTTTGGTAATGCGATGGTGAATATGTGGTTGAAAAAGAAGAAAAAATTTATTGATGTGATGAAAAATATTATTTTATTGAAAAATGTGTGTTTAAAAATGAGTAGAATAATAAAAATGAGAATGTGGCTCAAACAACGGCTAAATGATGTTATCATTTGCAAATTTAGGGTGTAATGTCTTAGTCAATGTTATGTATGGTTCCAAACACATCCTTAAAAGAATATTTATTACAAAGATGTTAAGATTTCATTTATGTTTTGTTTCTCTTTCAATAATTGGAAATACATAAAATTGATAAATGAACTTGAGAAACAGGAAAAATAAAAATTAGTCTTCCTCGCACACCGACCTCGTCAATATGCATGAAACTCACCTAAAAACAAAAAGTTGAAAATTTACCCGTCGGAAAAGTTGGATTTCACAAAAGTACAAAAGGGGGAGAAGTTTGAAACCATCGTATTAACTGTAGGTTAGCATTTTGATTTCTGTGACAACTCCCAATTCAAATGTAGCTCACCAGAGTTTTGCAATAGTATATTTCAATTTAGCCTTTGTTTGTTACTTGCTTATAATCAGTCAAATCATTTTTATTCATATATTTCGATGGATCCACAAGTACTATCAAATTATTCATCGTTCATTTTTATCAATTTACAATTTCAAATAAGTTTATTAAAGGTTGCAGACTAAGTTACATGGAAACCCTTAATTTAATATTTCTAAGTGCATCTCTCATGCACAGTATGTTAATTTTTATTAGTAATGTCTAATACTCTATAATCTATCATACAGAACATGTCATACATAATTTGAGAATTATATTTACACGGAAGAATTATGGATTCGATTATTAGTTATATTGAATGATGTTATCTATTTCAAATTTAGTGTGTAATGTCTTTCTTAGTCGATGTACAAGTATGGTACTAAATACTTTTTTAAAAGAATATTTTATTACAAAGATATTTTGATTTTATTTATGTTGTCACAATTGTTCCTCTTTAAATAGTTCGAAATGTTTAAAATTATAAATGAACTTGAGAAAAAGGAAAAATAAAAATCAGTCTTCTTTGCATACCAACCTCGTTAGGAAGCTTGAGACGCACCGGAAAAGGAGTTCCTTTGAATTTTACGGCTTTTAAACGGTTATCACAAAAAGTACAAAAGGCTGAAAATTCAAACCACCGTATAACCTTTGATTTTTGTAATGGCTCTCAATTTAAACGTACGATGTTCTGTAACTTTTAAGATCACTAAAGTTTTGCAATATTAGATATCACTTTAGCCTTTGTTTGGCACATGTTTATAATTGATCAAACCATTTTTCATTCATATATTTCGTTATCAACCATCTATTTCTATCTATTTATAATCATTTATCCGTTTTTACAGTTGCTATCTAAATTACATGGAAAACCTTAATTTATTATTTCAATGTGCATGTTTCGTGTCCATGTTTTTATTTTTTTAATAATGTCTAATGCTCTGTAATCTAATATACTGAACATGTCATCTGTAATTCAAGAATTAATTTAAACAGAAGAATTATGAATTCGACCATTAATTATTGTTGAATGAAGCTATCCATTGCAAATTAGTGTGTAATGTCTTTCTGAATCGATGTTCATGTAAGGTACCAACTACATCTTGGAAAGAATATTTTATTACAGAGATGCCCATATATCATTTATGTTTTCACAATTGTTCCTCTTTCAATAATTCGAAATGCATAAAATTGATGACTAAACTTGGAAAAAGGAACAATTAAAACCAGTCTTCCTCGCATGCGATCCCCATGTGTAAGCATGAAACACACCTGAAAACAAATAGTAAAAAACTTAAGGCGGGTTCTCTTTACCGTTTTCAAGCCGTTTTCTGTTTTCGATTTTCCAAAACAGTGAAAACGCATTCTCTTTCCTATTTTCGAAAACGCATTTTTTAAAACAAGTTAAAAATTTACAAAGAAAACTTAAAAAGACAAAATTATCGTACAACTCGTTTTCTGTTTTTGATTTTCTATAACAGTGAAAATGTATTCTCTTTCTTATTTTCGAAAATGCGTTTTTGAAAACAAGTTAAAAATTTACAAAGAAAACTTAAAAAGACAAAATTATCGTTTTGAGTGTTTTTAAAACAATTTTTTTCATAATGTAAAAAAGAACACGTTTTCAACAATTTCAAAATGAACATTCAAAACACAAAATTGAAACACATATAGAACAGCCCCTTAGATATCGAAAATGTTTGTTTCTGACAAAAAGTAAAAAAGGTAGAAAAGTTTTAAACCGTCTCATTGACTCTAGTTTAACCTTTTGATTTCTCTAAATGGCTCCGAATTCAAATGTAGGATATTTTGTACCTTTCAAGATCAAACTCTTGTAATATTATATATCAATTTAGTCGAGTATGATAGAATATTGAAAGCATGTTTTATTTTCAATGTGTGAAATTCTTTTTAAATAAGCCTAAATTTATGATTTGCAAAGAATTAGTACAATCTTGAATTATTGCATTAGTTGTACATCAATTTGAATTCGGACAAGACGTTCCGGAACAGGATTCCACAACAATTGACTCAGTACATAAACTTCTCCTCTTCGATTATTTTAAGTTCTTTCCAATTGCAGCCTGCCAAAATTCTAGACTTCTATTGCGTACTTTATAAATAATTAAAAGTAACTTTTCTATCTTTAAAATTTGGTTGCGACATGTGCATATTTTTCTACAGAGACTAAGTTCAGCAAAAAAATATTAACTAAAATTTGTGCCTTTGCAAAAATACGGCTCTGAGTTAAATAATTATTACACGAGACAAACTCGTTTTAAAGAAAATTGCATAATTACCCTACGCACTCTGTTTTGTATAATAGTTTCTCGTTTTATCATTTCAAGACTTTATGTTATTATTTAGGGTACGTTTGGAAGGTTCTTTGAAATGTCCAAAGTTACTTAAAACGCCTTCATTGCGTGTTTCCCTCTCCGTCTACATATATACCATTACTCCCCCGTCCCCCTTTCTTCTTCTTCATCTCCATTTTCTCTCTTTCTCTCTCTAGAATATTATGAGAATGAGTTGCAATGGTTGCCGAGTCCTTCGCAAAGGTTGCCGTGGTGACTGCACTCTCAGGCCTTGCCTTCAATGGATCAAATGTGCTGAATCTCAAGCACACGCCACTCTCTTCCTTGCCAAATTCTACGGCCGCACCGGACTCATTAATCTTATCGATTCCGGCCCTGCTAATCTCCGCCCAGGTACATATATGTAAACCCACAATAAGGGCTGATCATATAACGCTGTTATGTTGTGGTGAAAATTTGTTAAAAGTTTTTTTTTGGGTTTGATTTGTCTGCGCAGCGATTTTTAGGTCGCTGTTGTATGAAGCTTGTGGGAGGATCATCAATCCGATATACGGATCTGTGGGATTGATGTGGTCGGGGAATTGGCAGCAGTGCCAGGCGGCGGTGGAGGAGGTGCTCAAAGGCGCTCCGTTAGTGCAAGTTTCTGATACTGATGAGTCCAGTGCAACAAAAGCTCGCTCCATCACGCCTCTACAGGGCTTTGACATTCGCCACTTCTCAAAGAACACCGCTACCCCAGAACCCATCCACCGTGTCAGGTCCCGACGCTCCACGGTGGAAATCAACAATACCCTACACTCGGTGGCGGCCGCCGCCGAGTTGATGAACGAGACGGAAGAGAAATTTACCATCACAGGATGGGATTGCGGTGAAGATAACGATGCTTTTGTGCATCAGTTGAAGAGAGCCCCTAGTCACAACTCTTACTCTGTTGAAACAGTAGAACCCTCAATGCTGAACCCGAGTACGAGCTTTAAACCGGAGCCCCATCACACTGAAAACGATGATATTGGATTGGAGTTAACTCTGGGGTTCAATTCAATGCTGCGCAATCATCTGTCCACAGTGATAGAGCTCTCAAACAGTGAAGTCTGATAAGAAATCTTCAAACTAAGTTTTTCTCCTTAGGGCATAATGTCCTTTTCCATTTTTCCTTTCTTAATGGTAGATCTTATTTTCAGTACTTTCATTTCTGTATTTCTTTTTCTTTTATAGAAAAAGTAGAGAAGTAATATTTTGTATATCTAAATGTTGCCAACCTGTCATTTCTTCTTCTTTTTATGATTTCTATATAGTCTGAGAGTGTGTTTGGTAGGGATTTTTGGGAGAAGAATAGATTTTTGAATAGTGATATGATGGGAAATGTGTGGTTGAAAAAGAAGAAAAAAGTATTGATGTGATGGAAAATATTATTTTATTGAAGAATGTGTGGTTGAAAATGAGAAATTTCTGTATTTCTTTTTCTTTTATAGAAAAAGTAGAGAAGTAATATTTTGTATATCTAAATGTTGCCAACCTGTCATTTCTTCTTCTTTTTATGATTTCTATATAGTCTGAATAAATCAAGAAACAGTGCAAAACTTTCATCTCCAACATTTCTGCAATTAAAGAAATGGTGAACTATTTTCTAATAAATTTGTTATTGTTATGATAAAAGGAATTTAATAATAATAAATACAGATGATGCCATAGATATAAATAATATGCCAAGTCCAGACTGGAACAGAATTCAGGGTTCCAATCTGTTTGGTAGAAAATGGTGAAATAAGTGAGGTGAGAGCACAGAAAAATGTTGGCAGTCTTTTGCGGCGTCTTTCGACACATGCCGTGCATGCAAATAGGAGTTGCCAAGTTTCTAACTTTTTTTTTCTTTTTTAAGAAAATAAATTACAGTCTTCGGACGGTTCTATATATCCTTCAGCTAAATGCATGTGCAATGAAAAACTTATCCTGTCCAGAGATGGGGGATTACACAATAAAAGATCAAGAAGTTGCACTTCATTATTAATGCACACTGCTACCATATACCGAGTGTAAAATCTTTCTAGCTTTTACTTGAAGGGAATTTCGTGAAATTATTATTGTACCTCAAGTATGAAATATCAATAGTTTTGCCGGTCACCATAAATGTGTCCAAAAGCCTTCCACATAAAAATGGCAAAATGATGAGTAGCTCATTAGCTCGACTTTTCGAAACTCCGCCCATGGACGGCTCGAACTCTTTTCGAGGCGAGTCTGAGCACAAGCCAAGCAGAGTCTCGTATGGCAAGTCAAGCAAGACTTGACTCGTCGAGCTCGTGAGCCTAAAGTTCATGAGCACACAAGCCGTTCGCAAAAAAAAAGTGACCAAACATTGTTTGGTAGCATTATTTTTTTTTAAAAAAAAACTTGAGCTTGAGCTATGCACGTCTCTTTGACGAGCTGAGCTCGTGATCGGCTCGGCCTGGCCAACTGCCATCACTAATTCCCAACCTTGTTTGATGGCCATTATTTAGGAAAAATAATACTTTGAATAGTGATTTTTAGAAGAATCCGTAGTTAAAAAGTAGGAAAAATTGCAGTAGTGATCCCTAATCTTTTCAATTTTTGCAGACTTTACTTTAACCTTCAATTTGTGTCAGCGGAGATCCTTAACCTTCAAAAATATACATCTGGAGTCCAAATGGATAGATCCATCCACTTTTACATTAGTTGACCAAGAAAATGATGTCGATCACATTATGAATTATTTCTACAAGAGTAAAATTGTAACTTTATCTTTTTCCATATAAAAATAATTAAATTAAAAATTAAAAACCATCATCTTCCACCCACCCCCTTTCCTATCCAAACCCGACCCTACCCCTACACCTACCCAAAACCAAACCCTGCTACCCATCGTCTTCGCCCCATCGATGCCGCCACCACTTACGCCAATGGAACCCAAATGAAAAATTAAACGCAAAATCGAACTCAATAATTTGGAAATGCAGATCCATCTCAACCTACAACCTTACCACCACCAAGCCGACGATGAGGGTATTTGGTTTTCCACCATCGAAATCAGAGCCCAAATAAGTTTAGGCGACAAAATTGCCAAACCATCACCAAGCCAATGAGGAGGCTGAAAGAATTTCAGATTTGGAGACAAGTGCCACTGTTCACGAAAATATATTTCAAATTACTACCGCAAAAGTACTGTTCGTGAACAAGTAATAAAGTAGATTTTAAGTCCAAGTATCGTCCCTATAGAGATTGATTAGTTCAATTTTAATTATCACAATCTTAACTGAAACAATAATAATATGATGTATTTGTTTGTGACAAAATTATGAATAAATTAATCTACTTATACAATTACGAGTAAATTGACTAAACTAAATGCAAATTATAGTAAATTCAAATTGATGTATTTAATAGATGACAAACACACTATGATCACAAATTCTCATCCAATAATCATTTTTAATATTAGTTCTACACTTTAACAACACAATTGAATTTTGACGAATCAATATTTCTATTTTATTTAACAATCTTTCTCGAGTAATGTGAAACCTACTCTCATATATAACCTAACTATATTTCTACGATGGATGCGAACATACAAAAGTGCATGAATTTTTATAAACACTTTCAAATGCATAAAATATGCCATACACAAATACCGTGCACAATAATTGTGGAGAAAAGAAAATCATATAAACCATTCAATATCAAAAAACGTGTTTTTAATATCAAGTATGTAAAACTAAAGATTTAAAATTCATATTATATGGTTCATCGTTCTTCTAGTACAAAGAAAACTAGCCTAACATGTTATGAAAAATAAAACAAAAGATATAAATGATGTTCATCACTCGGAAATTTTTGAATTCAATCTTGAACTCCTTGATTTAATCTTGATTTGCTCTTTGCCTCCCTTTTCCATTCATTCTCCCCACCCTAAATATATTTTGACAGTTGGTATTTATATTCCTTATAAAAAGTTCCAAAAGATCTCCAAAAATCGTGCATATCATGGTTCAAACGGAAGTTTCCTTATTGGAATTGAATTCTGAAAGAAATAATTTTTTTTACCTGGCCTGGGCGGACGCCCAGTAGGAAATAGGACGGCTGCCCAACCATACCAAATAGCTCCTGTAATTGAAGTTTAGGGTTGACCGGCCGCCGACCTATATAACTGGGCGACTGCCCAATTATAAGAACTTCAAGAATTTTCCTTTTAATCATTTTCTTCATTCTTTCTTCCATCTTGATCCTCCACATTAAGTTACTTTGATTTAATACTTCAACTTTTACTCAAATGCATATTAGTCCCTAAACTTCCATTCATTGGCCAATTGATCCTTCTTTCTTTTCCAATTGCTATACTAGACACTATTTTTGGTTTTTCTTTTTCGATTTTTTTTCAATTTTTTAAAATTAAATTAGTTATACAAACTCGATAAGCAATTGAAAAGCTAGCAACAAAGATCTTAATTCTCCAACTACTTACCCCTAAACGAAAAGATTACATGTCCCCAGTGTAAAAACAAATATAAACAAAATAAAAAAGTAAATGATCAGAAACTCCTTGAGGGGGTAGACACGAATATGTAGAAGGATCAGGCTGGTCCGATTGATAGATGTTATGGCAACTGTCACTTTTGTTTGTTGCTGAGCTTCAACTTTTTATTTCAAGAATTCAAAATTAATATTAATAATAATAAATAAGGTTTAAATAATTATAATATATTCACACCAAGACGAATTCTAATTTTCTAACATTTAGAAGATTGAAATCTAGGCACAACCTTAAAAATGCATATCACATCAATGTAAGCTTACTGTAATGCTAGGATGTTAACGACGAGCCTAAATAAAATGAACTCAAATAAGTAAACATGTCTAAGTTATTAATGCAAGTCTTAAAATATTGCCAAAAATGTTTTAAAAACCGTTGAAATGCATGAATTTCTAAATTAATGCAATCCCTAAAACTACTTGTAATGTAATTGTTAAGGACAAAATGGAAAGGAAAATGGGTTGCCTCCCATTAAGCACTCGATTTATAGTCTCAAGCTCAAATTTTGCACAAGTGTATCATGGCACTTTGAATATGGTTTTGAAGGTCCTGCCTAACTTGCTCAATTTGACTTTGTTCCATAATACAACTTTCCTCCAGATTTTAACATTTCCATATTCCAAGTAGTATGATTTCTCCTCATCACCCGTTTCGAACTCAACAATATACACCTCAATCTCCTCATAAGATATAATCACAAATTTATTTTTTGAGCAAACGAGAAATTTGAGGGATGACATGCTAATATCATCTTCTTTGAATTCTACTCATTCTTTTTTCGCTCGTTATGATTATCTTTTCGATCTTTTCATGCTACTCTTCGTTAATTGAAACTTTCTCGAATTCAACATTTGTGTCCAAAATTTTTGGCAAAGAAACATTGATATCTTCATGGAAAGTCTCTTCCTCTTGTTGTATTTGTTGGAAATCTGATGGATCTGATTCCCTTAATTGATGATCATTAAAAATCGATGGAAGAAATAATCCCAAAGACAAATCACCCATATCAAATTTTGGTAAGAAAAATAATGCAACAAGCAAGATACCCAAGACAATTTCATAAAGTTCACATTTCACTTTTATATCTCGTAGTCGTTGTCTCATAATGAATCTCCCACAAGCATATCTTCCTCATCAATTTTTTGAGATGTCAATTCTTGTTGCCTTATGATAAAGTCACATATGAGCATTTTATTGAAATCAACCACTGTCATCTTTTATCCGCTATTTTTGTTCTTTCATATATCCTGAAAAAGAGAAAAAAAATTAAAATGGAACGAAAATAATAATACAAGAATACAGACAGAAGCCTAAATTAGTGTCAATGTAAATAAAATCAAACTAAAACTCAATCTCCGGCAATGAACGTCAAAAACTTGTTCACGAAAATATATTTCGAATTACCACTGCAAGTGCACGGTTCGTTAACAAATAATAAAGTGGACTTTGAGTTCAAGTATCATCTCACAGAGATTAATTAGTTCAATTTTAATTATTACGACCTTAATTGAAACAAGAATAATTTGATGTATTTGTTTGTGACAAAATT